AACTTTCAATATTTATTTCTATGGACTCACATTCTAGGAATAAGGATAAGAGTTTCGCACGTACATTTAATTCCGCAGAGGCATCATTAATCCAATGTCCGTTCTTCATGTGAGTCAATTCCCAAAATTTCTGCAAGTTTGGCTCTTTTCCGGTGCTTGTATTTCTCTACTAAAACCAATCAAATTATGTTATTAAATAAAAAATAACTAAAATTCATCAAAATAAAGACATATGTTACCTGTTCAAAAGATACCGCCTGGAAGGATTTTCTGCCGCAAATATGATTCATTTCTTGTTTTCCCTTATTGGTTTTGTTAAGCTCACTCATTCTCTATATTAAATTGAATTTGTAAATATATTTCTTGATGAACTATAAGAAGTAGAACAAGAAAATAAATAATTTGCAAAGTTAAATCAATTTAATTTTGGCATATCCTAATTAATTACCTTAAAAGTATCAGAACCAGGAATCTCCATTCAGCTTCATTAACATCGGGTGGCATGTTCTGCAAGCAATCCTCCTTTGTAGCATATTTCTTGAAATGATCATTGAGCCTACTACGACGATATCTATATAAATTATTAGCTGTTTTAAGGATAGTATCCCGATTGTGTTGTGTGTCTGGAAGTTGGAAGGTATCCTGAATTCAAAAAAAAAAAACTAAAGTGAGCTTACTTAAAATAGAATTTCGATTTTCTGCCAATGAACCAAGGGATGTTCGGAGTCATCTTTTCTAAAGTTGGTTTATCAGTATACTTTATTTGTATACTTATATTGAGAATTTTCTTATGTGTATTGGACCAGCAAGAAAATTCTAAGGGAACATAGTGAATTACCAGCATATGGGCACAAATCCTATCTTTTGCAATATCAGGAACTTCCTTCCAATTCTTGACATCATGCCTAGCATTATGCATAACTTTAACAGAGAGCTCGGTAACGAAATCATTAGCTCCAGGTCCTACTGCTACAGCTCGATCTGATGGAATAATCACCTTCAACTTTCCATTGTCACTATCTTTGCGTTTCTTTTGGATTGAAAGCCATGTAGTCTTCCCTCTTCCTTTTCTCTTTTTACCTTTATCTATATATGAAAATACTTAGATGTATAGTAAACATAACATATATAAGCTAGAGATTTTATAGGGCTCGATTTTAACAAATGAATTTACTTACCTGACGATGGATTTGAGATTACATCAGCAGTTCCATCATTATTAGAAACATGCACATCTGTCATCATGATAGGCTGTAACACATATTAAAAGGAATTATATTATTGGAGACTAACTTTATTCGACACGTCTCAGCAGTTCCTTTATTTCTCTTATTCGAATTTCCTAAAGCTAACATCTTCATTAGTATCTTCTCCTTTTCTTATCATCCATCTTTTTTCACCACATTTAGGGTATTGCTCAAGATTCGCATATTCCTTTCTATATAAAATGCAATTATTAACACATGCATCTATCTTCACATAATCTAGACCCAAACCTTTAATTATCTTTTGAACTTCATAGATAGAATTCGGGAGTACATTTTCTTTGGGTAAAACATCACTCAATAATTTTAATAAAGAGTCAAATGAGGTATTACTCCAGCCATGTAGACACTTCATTTGAAAAAGACGCATTACAAAAGAGAGTTTGGAGAACTTTTCACAATCAGGATATAGCTTTTGCTCTGTATCTTTTAATAACCTATAGAAAATATTAGCTTCTGTATTAGGCTCTTCGCAACTAAACTCATTGTTCTCATCAAACTCATGACTATTAGTGGGAATACCATGATACAAGTCATGTAACATTTCAAAAGTGGAAGCATCATCATTTCCTATATCTGAATTTATACTAGCATTTGTTCCATCATCCGAAGATGAATCCAGCTCACCATGATAAATCCACCTATCATATGTTGAATCAATTCCTCACCTAAGTAAATCTGTCTTCACTTCTTCTCGTGTTTTCCAAAGAACATTATTACACTTAATACATGGACATTGGATTCTTACACCAACATTAGGATTAGAAAATACAAAGTTTAAAAAATATTCCACACCATTCAAGTATTGAGGTAACGTCCTATTCTTGATGAATATCCAGCTCTTATCCATCATCTAATTACCTACAATAAAATAAAAAAGTAAAACTATATGATTAACCTTCTTTCTATTTTTTATTGTCTATTGTATCAGAAACAAATGATTGAGAAATACTTAGAAACATAAGGCTTTGAATCTGGGGAGAGTAAGATGTACGCAGTCTTACCCCTACACTGGAAGGATAGAGAGGTTGTTTCCGATAGATCCTCGAGCTAAAGAAAAGATGAAAAGAAGTAATAGCAACAAGTAGAACCCCTCTAATGAATTAGCTTACCAGATTCAACACCACTAACTATTGCAAGATTGTCCAATTTGCAGTCAAAATCTTTCAGTACAATGTCAAACTGAACTTAACCAGAAATAAACTAATAACAAGATATGTTTAATTTAGAAACATTACGATGCATGCATAAACTTCACATAGCAAAAAGATCAAAATTTGAACCAAAGGAAAAGATTTAGAAAAATATATCAAAAACCACAAAGCATTAATTTGGATACACACTAAGTTGAAACAGAGAATAAAAAGTCCAAAAAAGTCAAGAACCAAAACCAAGAATTAATTAAGAAACCCCATACCAGAGATCACGAATACAATGACTTGCTTGATTATTTGCATACTTATTAGAGAAAAGAGATCAAATGTGCGGAAATAGGTTTTTTAACAGCACATGTCGGTGCAGTCTTAACTGCGATAAGCCCTCTATGAGGTCTGAACTTTGCGTCAGTTGGATTATGTTACTTTGCATCAGTTGGATTATGTTCACTTCAAATAATCAAGAGATGCAACTACTTAGGCTTTCAAAACATATTCTTGGCTTAAAACAAGAACTATTTCTTCTCCTCAGCAGACAGGGAAATGAACCAGAAAATACTACTGCCCCACCAGACTATTAGGTCCCATCATAATAAAATGTTGTAAGTGCTCTCTCAACTAAGGCCTCTCTTTTCCTAATCTTTTAATAATAATCACCACTTTTTAACATTCTTATTTCTTAGCAAGAAAGTTTCTTGCTTACACCTGACTACTTTTCACATTAAGTACCAGTCCTACAGAATCTCAACTAAGAGTTTATAGCTACATGTCACTCTTACAAACACCTCCTTTCACTTTTAGAAAACCTTTTTATCTGCAGGTGTATTGTTAGACTATCACGCCAATATGTTACAATTCCCTATATCCAATATGCCAAACATGTTAAGACTTTCAAAACATATTCTAGGGGTGTCACAATGTCAAAACTCCCACATCTTTAAGCCATATAATTATGATTATTATGAGAGCACATCAACACAAATAGTGTTATATAGTAATAATACACTTTCTCTGAATACCTTCGGCGCTTATGCATATATATTCAAACTCATCGATTGTCATCAACAAGATGTAATTTACATGGAACATCATTATAAGCCAATTGCTGGATACAATGCTTTCCACTTGGCTTGCTTTCTCCCAACAAACCTAAAAGAGAAACTTTTCACTAAAGAACTAACCTTATACTTAGCAGGAAGAAAAAGGAACTGCTGCTTCAGTTTATCTAGTGTGGAATATTTAGATGCTTCTTCAATCTTAATAGGATTTCTCAAACAATCCCAACAAAAAATATTTTTTATGCAAAGTTTCTTTCTTATAAGGAATTAGAGGAGAAAAGTTATATATAGTATTCTGGAATATCACAATTTAAGATTCCCACCATACCCAACTAAGTACTTCAACAATAAAGGCAATCAAAACGGTATTTTCATAATTCGGTTAAGAAATAATCGGGTAAAGTAATTGAAGATAGAGTTCTTACCGGTTCTTCTCCAATCAGCAGCAATACGATGCAACAAGGAGGACGCAACAGAGAAGGAGCTCGTTCAAGAATAGCTGATAATAAAAACCCTAGGCAGAATGGTTATTAGAGAGTGCACTAAAATTTTGGGAAAAGTTATTAAAGAGCGAAAGTTTGCCGCGTTTTATTTTGGCGGAAAATTAGAATGTTTTAGGCCACAACCCACGAACCTTATTGGCATAATAATATGTATACCAACAAATAGAGTTTATTGTTGCCAATTCTGTTTATATTTTAAATTTATTATGTTAAAAGTTCTATTTTTTGTAACACCAAAAATTAGTTGTTGTCATTTATTAAACTTCAGCAACAATACCATAGTTGTTGCCAGAACTTAGTGGCCATTTTTAAAAATTTAAACTTTATTATTTAAACCATAGAATATGGCGACAACATTAACACGTTTGCCAACAATAAAGTTTTGTTGCCAAAAAGTCTATGCTACAGCAACAAATTTATCGGGTTGTTCCCATTTATCCATTTTAGCCAATAATATTTCAGTTGTTGCTAAAACATTATTGCAAATTCCATAATTTCTTGTAGTGTTCGTAAAGTAGTGAGCAACTTGAGTAAAAACTAAGAAAAGCCTTGCCAAACTATAGAATTGCACGACACCAAATCGGTGTCATTCATCAAATAATTTTCGTTGTACCTTGTACTCATTATGTTTTTCGAATAACATTTTCCATCACTCCCAAACATGAACAATTTCAGTTCCAGGTTCCACTGTATAAACTCAAATTAGGAAAAAGTTACCTAGTTAGACCGGAAGGTGGAGACAAAATGCATAATAATATAGCATAAAATATAGCAATTATTACAATTACAATAATGGTTTTGGCATCTTTTCACATGACCATCTCTTTTACAACAAAATAATCTTATTTATAGCTGCAGCTTCAACTCACCTGAAATATTAAACATTTGGAGTTAAACAAGTGCATAAGTCCAAGCATATTCTATAGATTAGGATCAATTACTTTAGTTCGACCTATGCTGAAAAACTTAGATAAAATAGATAAACGATAACATTGTCTAGAAAATTAGAAACATACGAATCTAGCAAACTCCTTCAGTTACTTCCCTTTATCATTGAATATACAAGCCTTTTGATGCAGCAGAGAAACCTTTTTTTTTAATGTTCAAAATTCAACATTAAGTTGTTCTGAATGTAGTATTGTGTTGTTGGTTAAACCTTTGAGCCAGATGTGCATAACTTGAATAAGTTGGAGCTAGAAAAAGCACGATTTAGTGATTCAATTTATGCTATATTTAAGGGATAATGCATAAAATCCTCCCCAACCTAGAGGATTATGACAGTGATATACATGAAGAGTTCATAGAGTTTAGGGCTGAGAGAAAGTCTTTCCAGAGAAGAAAAAGGAAGGAAAGAGCTCCTGCTGACCCTGATAATGTTCCATGATCTGGGGTTTGATGAAACTGAAACAAATAAAAAAAATATAGAAGGTTGGATAGGTTCTGATGAGTTCTGATATAGAACTTTACCCTAAGTTCTGATGCATGTAGCTTTGAAACAGATGAAGATGAATGTTGGGTTGAAGATGGGAAAGAAGTTAGGGTAAATCTACTAAAAAGAAGATCTTCTTCTACCAAGAAGGTGGTTTATGATCCCACAACTAAAAAAGTTATGTGGTAGTTGGGTATGATTTTTATAGATGCGGATGAATTTAGAGATGCAGTAACCAAGTATGATGTTCAAAGAAGGGTTCAGGTGGAAAAGTATGTGAATGAGCCAACAAGAGTCAGGGTGAGGTGCAAAGACAGTTATTCATGGTTGTTGTATGCAAGCCTTGACACTTCAAGTAATAATTTTGTGCTTAGGACTTATAATCCAGTACACAAGTGTAATAGGGCCACCAAATATTATATGTGCAATTCTAAATACATGGCTAAAGTGTTTAAAGATAAAATAGCTGAACAACTAAATATAAGAGTGTTCAAGTTACCAGAGTTAATTAAGAAGAAGTTTAAAGTGCATATTGGCAAGACCACAACTAGGGGAGAAAGAGCTAAAGTATTGAAAGAAATTATGAGTGACCATATTCTTGAGTTTGGAAGAATTCTTGATTACAGGGATGAATTGTTAAGGACCAACCCTGAGAGTACATGTGTGGTGAAACTTGGTGAAGCTGATGAATCTGGTAAGGCAGTATTTTAAAGTTTCTACATCTGTTTTGGTGCATTGAAGAATGCATTCATGGGGTGCAGGACATATATAGGTTTAGATGGTTGTTTCTTGAATGGAGTTAGTAGAGGGAAGTTATTAGTTGTTGTAGCTAAGGATGCCAACAACCAAATTCTTTCACTTGCTTGGACAGTAGTGGAATATGAGAACAAAATACATGGACATGGTTTGTGTATTTGATTAAGGATGATTTGGGATTAAGAGATGGCAGGGGTTTCACATTGATTACAGACATGCAAAAGGTATATCATTCCAGCCTTTTTGATATTCTTTGTTGTGTTTTCATGTTTGAATACTAAATAATTTCCTTGTCTGTAGGGTCTTCTAGCAGCAATTCAAGATATTATACCAGCTTGTGAGCACAAGATGTGTGCCAGACACATTCTTGCAAATTGGTCAAAAAATTAGAGAGGGATTTAGAGGAGGACGTTGTTCTGGAAGTGTGCTAGAAGTACATATGAGGCCGAATTCAAGAAAAACCTGAAAGCACTCAGTATGCTTGGTAAGAACATAGTTGATGATCTTTTATACTAACAAAGAGACTTGGTGTAAGGTGTATTTTAATATGAAAGTCAAGTGTGATGCAGTAGATAATAATATGCCTGGAAGTTTTAATGCATGGATCCTAGTTGCAAGGCACAAGACCATTATTACCATGCTTGAAGAAATAATAGTCAAGATGATGACTAAAATAGCTAAGTTAAGGGAATTTGCAAATACTTGATCCTGTAACATTTCTCCAATGGCATTAAAGGTCTTAGAGGAAAATATTGAAAAGTCAATGAGGTGTATAATTTTTTTAATGGAGATACAGGATATCAGGTTAGGGAGGGAACAAACCAACATACTGTTTGCCTAAGAAATAATACTTGTAATTGTAGGGCTTGGATGTTGAAGAGGATATCATGTCCATATGCCATAGCTGCAATGTACTATAAAGGGTATGAACCAACTGACTATGTTGATAACTGCTACATGAAGGAGACATATTTGATGACATATTCCCACTTCCTTCAACCACTCAATAGTAGATATGGCATGCATCTACTAACCCTCCTGTTGCACCACCAATGGTGAAAAGTATGCCTGGAAGGCCCAAAAGGTTTAGGAGAAAAGAGGCAACTGAAACAAAAAAATCTGGAAAGTTGCCTAAAACTGGACTTGTCATGAGGTGTAGCATCTGCAAGGGTGTTGGTCACAATAAGAGGGGGCGTCATAAGAGTGCTACAAATCCATCAGGTTCAGGAACTGCTGTTGTACCATCAAGTGTAACTTCTACTAATACAGAAGCATTAGGTTCTGGAAGAAATAGAGTCAGACCAAAGGTAATATAGTATAACTAACTGTATCCAATTTCTTTTAAATTCAAATATTATATCTTACTATTTATTATTTGTTAGAAACCAAGAAATATAGAAGCTGAACCTGTTGCAAAAAGAGGGAGAGGAAGACCTAGAAAATCAACATCTACTGCACCTAATACCTTTATTGCTGCTGAATTTTCAAGTACCGTATCTTCTTCTACTGCTGCTATTGAACTGTACCTATTGCAGTAGCTAGTACAGGAAGGGAAAAAGGTAAATCAAACAAAATAACATCCGCTGCACCTAATGCAACATTTGCTGCAGCTAGTAGAGGTAGGGGAAGAAGGGGATCTAGGAATGCAACAGCTGCATCTAGTAGAGGTAGGGGAAGAGGAGATCTTGGAATGCAATTCCATCAGCACCTAATGCAACATATGCTACTCATCATTCACTAGCCAGTTGGTTTGAATGTTCTGCACCTAGTACAACATCAACACCTAATACATCTGCTGCACCTAATGCCTCTACTGCTACATTAATAGAGGAAGGGGAAAGGGTATGGAAAATACCAAATAATTTAAAAGGCCGAGAGAGATGGGAATAGGTGTGTTTCAAGCTGGAAATGATTTCAAAACTTTGAATGTAAGTGTATATTCTTTGTGATATTCAATATGTTTTGTATATTTGTGATAACTTATTTAGTTATTCTTTCTCTGTAGCCTGACATGCCAAGTAGTAGAATAGTATCTACGCCAAGTACCAGAATAGTATCTACTGGACCAACAATGATAACAAGATCAGCTGATGTAACTGGTGACATTGGTTTCAAACCAAGTAGTGGAGTGAAATTGAAGGGAAAACCAACAATCACAACAAGAAGGCTTTAAGAGATTAGAGGGCAACATAAAATTCAAACAAGGACCGGTGGTTCAAACAACCTAAGCCAGAATAGTAGTTCTGCACATTCCCAGTAGATTTGGTTATTTTTGTTGACTGCAATCTACAAGCAAATAATTATTTGATATTTTTGGTTCACTACAAGTAGACATTGTTTATCCTAAGCCAGACATTTGGTTATTTTTGTTGACTGCAATCTGCAGTTTTTATCCTTTTAGAATGATTATGTATTAGTTTTCAAATGTTGCCTTAGTACATTTGGTGTTTTGTTGACTGATTTTGGTGGTATTTATGGAATGTTGCAGCTATATTTCTATGAAATTCAATGGTGTCTTGCCATTTACACAAAATCTCAATGTGACTTATACATAGTAGTTGAAAGAATCTGAGAATCGATCACACCAAGTGAGCAATTCATACACAATTAACTTCCACATAACATATACTAAAATGAAGTTACATACCACAATGACAACAAAACAGATTTATTACAACCTTAACCGAATACTTCTAGATAATTTCTACAATAGAAAACAACTACTATTGC